GATTTATATCATCAACCGTATGATGGTAGCTATTCATCCATGTTGATGGCTGGTTTCATGGGGGCCATTGGCTCCCCGACGGCCAGGCTTGAACTCAGGAAGAACGGGCAATCGAACGCTGGCTAGCGGTAGAGAGAGGGCCAGCGGTTTAAACCCCGCCATGCTAAAGAGTGCCAGGTGGATTCAGGTTGGAGGTTGGATGACAACCGTTTGTTCTTGACATGTTTAGACATGCTCGGCGAAATAAGTCTGTCATTCTGGTGATGTTGCTGCTGCTATGTATTGCTGCTGTTATGTATTGTCCCCGCTGCTGATGGTGTTACTGTTGTTGCTGCTGCTGTTGCTGTTGCTGTTACTGTTACTGTTGCTGTTGCTGTTGCTGTTGCTGTTGCTGTTGCTGTTGCTGTTGCTGTTGTTGCTGTTGCTGTGCTGCTGCTGCTGCTGCTGCTGCTGCTGCTGCTGCTGCTGCTGCGCTGCTGCTGCTGCTGCTGCTGCTGCTGCTGCTGGTGCTGCTGGTGCTGTTGCTGGTGCTGTGCTGCTGGTGCTGCTGGTGCTGCTGGTGCTGCTGGTGCTGCTGGTGCTGGTGCTGGTGCTGGTGCTGGTGCTGGTGCTGCTGGTGCTGGTGCTGGTGCTGGGTGCTGGTGCTGGTGCTGGTGCTGGTGCTGGTGCTGGTGCTGGTGCTGGTGCTGGTGCTGGTGCTGGTGCTGGTGCTGGTGCTGGTGCTGGTGCTGGTGCTGGTGCTGGTGCTGGTGCTGGTGCTGGTGCTGTGCTGGTGGTGCTGCTGTTGCTGTGCTGTTGCTGTTGCTGTTGCTGTTGCTGCTGTGCTTGCTGCTGGTGCTGTTGCTGGTGGTGTGCTGGTGCTGGTGCTGGTGCTGGTGCTGGTGCTGGTGCTGGTGCTGGTGCTGGTGCTGGTGCTGGTGCTGGTGCTGGTGCTGTTGCTGGTGCTGGTGCTGGTGCTGTTGCTGTTGCTGTTGCTGTTGCTGTTGCTGTTGCTGTTGCTGTTGCTGTTGCTGTTGCTGTTGCTGTTGCTGTTGCTGGTGCTGGTGCTGGTGCTGGTGCTGGTGCTGGTGCTGGTGCTGGTGCTGGTGCTGGTGCTGGTGCTGGTGCTGGTGCTGGTGCTGGGCTGGCGGCGGCGGCGGCGGTGGTGGTCGTGGTGGTGTTGGTGTTGGTGTTGGTGTTGTTGTTGGTGGTGGTGGTGGTGGTGTGAGTGTTGTTCTTGGTCTTGCATGGTCTTGATCTTGGTCGTGGCCTTGGTGTTGGTGCTGGTCATCGTCGCGTGGTAGCCGCCGTCATAGTATGGTGGATGCACGTTCAGCAGCCAGTAATGAGGTAGTAGTGACGTAGTAGTACCAGGAGCACAGCACCATCATGTTACATGTTCTCTGATCAGTATTGTCAGTGTCATAATTCTTATTTCTAGTTTTAACATTTTTTCTTATAGCAGGGCGGGATGGACAGACAATTCAGGACGCTGGCTCTAAAATTGGTCAGCTCTTGGCCGTTTACGTGCGCCACAAGAGTCTCCCAAAATCACCTCTCGCACCGGAAACATTAAAGCTCACCTGTCGCCAGCGCAAACTCCACAAATACCGCAACCTTAACCGACAAAAATCCAGCTTTTTGTGTAAGCTAAGGCATCTGTTGAATCTACTGGGGGCCTACAAGGAAGTAGGTCCTGGCAGTTTAAGCTACTTGGCTGACTTCTGAACCCCTCCTAAAAGTTAAACTTTTAGCCTCCTTATTATAGTTCATATAGAACCCAAAAAAGTTAAAGTTTTAAGAGTCAACCAGAAGAACGCCAAGGCTACGCCTGCATTCTGGGAAACTCCTCTAAAGAAAACTTGGCAGCCAGGATCGCGATCAGACCCAGAGCGATGCGCTCCAGCCACTCCATGGGCTTAAAGGTTTAGGGTTTAGGGTTTAGGCTTTAGGGTTTAGGGTTTAGGCTTTAGGGTTTAGGGTTTAGGGTTTAGGCTTTAGGGTTTAGGGCTCAGCGATTCAGGATGTAGGGACACATAAGGCTTACGTTATAAGGGTTCCTTAAGGGCCAGGCTCTACGTAATGGCTTTAGAAGTAGAAGACTTTGCTGGTTGAGAGCTTCAGCCACGGCCAAGATATACCGCGACGAAGAAGACGCTCGCAAGTCGCATTCATACACCCAGCGGATCGTGGATTTGTGATTTGTAGGTGAAATCTTGCGGTAACATGTACTGTATGTTTGTGTGTATGCATGTATGTATGTATGATGTACGTCTGTACGTACTGTATGTACCGATGTATGTACGTAAGCTTGACAAGGCTTGGTTCTGTGTAGACGCAGCTTCCCTACGTAGTTGCTCCTTTATAGTTGGCCACTAACAGAATGTGTGTCTCTGTCTATGTCGAGTCTGTGCACTTTGGCGAGAACCAGCCGAAAGCTCCTTGCAGATCCTTCCAGGCAGCTCCTTCCAATACTGCTACCCACTGATTTGTTTGTCTGGTTGTGACAAGGCGAAGATCTGCTTACGAATCTCTTCGATGCTCGACTCTATAGCCAAAGCCTTGCCAGCCAAAGCACCCCGGACAGACCCCTTGTGGCCCATAGCAGTGGATGATTGGGTTAGGTAAGCCCTTTTCTGCTTTCGCAGATGCTGCCGCGACGCTCTGGGTCAAACTGGCTGCACATTCCGGATGAAGACGCAAGACAGCGGCAGCTGCTTGACTGAATTTCTACGAATGTAAAGAGTCCATCCCGTAAGCTCAAAAGAGCCCAGCAAATGGGGCTAAAGTTTAATCATTGGCATAAGGGCCAAAGACTGCACTTTAGCTGGAGTCGAAAACCACAAACCCAATGAGTCTTTCGAGCTTTCGGATGAGCTTCCAAGGGCGGTGCCTCCAGCCCCAGAAGCAGTTCATTCCCGAATCGGAAGCCAATGCAGACCTTATATGACCCAATCGACAACCCTGAAACCTTATTGGACCTAAGGAGTTTGTGTTTCAGGGTTTAGGGCTTAGCGAATGGCTGCGTATGACATGAGGTCTCTGCCGCTAAAACATGCAATCCACCAAGCCTAGATGCTCAAGTGCCTCACCATTGTTGGCATCAGTGTGGTCCGGACTTTGAATAGTGATGAGGGACCTGTATGAGTTCACTCAGGAAAAGACTTCAACAAAGGTGGCTAAAACCGAGCCAGGAAAGTCATAAACCCGAAGACCCTCTCCAGAAGCTCAAGACCTGAAACCTGTACCCTAAACTCCAACCTTCTGATCTCGAACCCCCCCAAGCCTAAGCCCTAAACCCTAAACTCTAAGCCCCATCCTAAGGTCTAAACGATCATGAGCCCCACAACACTAAGCTTCTACTATACTGAACTTAGAACCCTAGCAAAAAATTATAATTTTTGCTGTTTCTTAGGGATTATAATAACCAAAAATTTTTTAAAAAAATATTTCTAAGTACCCCTAAGATCATGAACCCTGAACCCCAAGTTCTAGCTTTCTCCGATCCTGCATCGGCCAGCCCAACACAGGCCTTCAGGGCCTCGGTGGTTGCGGTTTATGGTTTGGGGTTTAGTTTAGGGTTTAGGGTAAAGGCCAGAAAGTTGGAATATGATTATCCTAACCCTTCTATGGCAAATTATAGGGTATCCTACCATGAAACCATATTCCAACTTTCTGGCTTTTACTTGAGGGTACGGGATTAGTGCTTTGGTCTGGAATGTTGGGCCTTTGGGTGGGGTAAATGATACGATTTTGGGTTTAGGGCTCAGGGGTTTAGGGTTTAGGGTGTTTAGGGTTTAGTGGTTTAGGGTTTAGGGTGTTTAGGGTTTAATGGAGAGTTTGGGATCTAATGCTTAGCGTTTTTGGGGAAGGGCTTTGGGCTGATTCTGTAGACAGGTAAGCCTAAAGCTTCGGTGTCAAGAGCTCAAATTCCTCGTGAGACCCCGAAAGGCCTTCCTTACCATAGCCAGAGATTAAGCTTCAGCGTTTGGGGGCGTAGGGTACTGGGTTCCGGATTTGGGGTTTTCAGGATTGGGGTTAAAGGTCCAGGCTCGGGATCGACAGCTTCAGGGTGAAGTGCATGAGTTTTCACAAGGGACTTATAGGGTTCTTTGGCGGACTTAACCCCAGAATTGAAAGTTACTGTCTTCCAAACAAGCTGTGAGTGGGAGCTCTACCCTAAACCATAGGCCTCTAAACCCTAAACCCTAAACCTAAACCCCAAAGCCTAAAGAAAACCCTAAACCCTAAAGCCTAAGCCCTAAACCGTCATGGTGGCGGGCTCGGGCTTTCAAGTCGCAACCTGTGATCAGAGGCTTCGGGTGGGAATCCTCCGGCCTGGTAAATCCTACCTGGACCCTAACCCTAAGGGTTTAGGGTTTAGGGTTTGGGGTTAAGGGTTTAGGGTTAAGGGTTTAGGGTTTAGGGTTTAGGGTTAAGGGTTTAGGGTTTAGGGTTTAGGGTCCTAAGGGTCCAAGTAGCCAAATAGTAGGGTTTCAAGGTCCAAAACCACTCAGAGTATGGGTTTTGGGACCTAGAACCCTGGTATTTGGGTGCCTGGACCCTCCGGGTAAGGAACCTAGATTCTTTGGGGGCTCCTTATTATGATTTTGTTATATGAATGCTTAAAACGGTAGGTTATTTGGGCTTAAGGTTGGCAGTATTGAGGAAACCCCTTATGATGTGGACCCTTCTTAACCATGGTTCTGGCTGATTGCGACAGCACTTCGACGTTTCAAACATATGTCACCAAACGCCTATTGGTGGGCATGTCACAACGTCACTGCGACAGGCAAGATGCAACACAAGAGTCCCTTTTTGCTTGGTAGGGCCGTTCAACTTTCAATGCACTCACGAAGGGATAACTTCGGTGCCCTATAATAATCAGAATAAGGGTTTGGGGCCCATTACACTATATTTATAATACAGTATAGGTAATAATACAGTATAGGTACTTATCAAGGCCCCTACAGTAGTCTTTGCTTAGGCCCTGACAGAAGGCCTGCTCAGTGCTGCCAAGCCGCTTCCTCCGACCTCAACTTCACCTTGGAGATCTCGACGGGGACCGACGTGACGATCTTTCCCCAGCGGCTGTCTGCCACGATCTCTGCCTTTCATCGTCCTAAGGACAAAAAAACCTTGCGGGATCCACCAGCAAAGAGACCCCAATATCCCGTAAGTATGGAAGATTCCTTAAATCACACTAGGGATCCTACTACAATTTCAGGTATCTTCCTTAGTTCAAGGTTACTGGAATCGCTGGGAGGACGTGGACCTGGCAACTTGCGTCTGCCCCTCGGACCATGTGCTCTGCACGGAAAAGGGTCCCTACTAGACAATTTGACAACTACGTAGCCATGGCTCCAGGGCCACGGGATTTCAGGCGCGTCTACTTGGAGGTTCATGGGTCGCTATAAGAGGAGGTTATAAGTAGGGTAACTATAACTATAACCCATATTAGGCTAAGTCCCCTAATTTGGCTTATAAGTATAGTTTCCCTACTTATAATTCCCTCCTATAACGACCCATGAACCTCCAAGTAGACGCTCTTGACGCTCGGATCAGGCCGGCCGAAGCTCTTCGACAGCCCAAAGAAGCCCGAGACTCAGAAGTTCACGTAGTGCGGGTGCCCCCAAGCAACGACGGAGCCGTCACTTTTGGCCGCTGCAAAACCGACCTCAGGGTCAAAGCGGCTACCTCATAGGGTCCAAGTACCTATATCTATATCCATATCCGTAGCTATGTGCATATATATATATATGTGTGTATAAAAGAATATATATATATATACACACATAGAGAGGAAGAGAGAGAGAGAGAGAGAGTATATATCTATATATATATATCCTCAGCCAGAAGCACCCAAGGGACCTCTTTCAGGTCAAACGTATGTGCTGCATAGGCATATGGGAATTAAGGGTCAGAGTTGGGAAGCTCGCCTTGAGGTTCGGGATTCCGGCGTCGAACTCCATTTTGAAGAGCGGGGTTTTATACGTCTGTTCCGTGGCCATGTGGGAGGTTAGGGTTTCAGACTACAAGGTGTTACATGAGGGTTCCGGGAGTTCGAAGATTTCGCGACTATCCACGGACACGGCTTCGGAATTCAGGATCAACGGATTTGTCGTTTAGGGTCTAGGGTTGAGGATTAAGGGCTTAGGGTTTGAGATTTAGTATTTCTGGTCCATAGTATAAGCTGCTTTGCTGGGGGAGTGGCTTCCTGAGGCATGCGTTAAACACTCTATGAACGCCTTGAGTACCCTCATATAGGGGACTGAATAATAACAATACGGTTGTTATCGTGTAATTTTCCAGAAAACCTTATTCTAATTACTGGGACCCTTAGATTATAAAACCTTGTTATAGCAACCTCATGATAACCCTTACACTACCACTGATTCTAAAACCTTATTCCAACCATCATAAATGCCCTGAACCTGTTCGGGCCTCGCTTGATTGGATGGACTCCACCTCCGTCAGCGCATCCGAAACGCGGCTGATGTCTCCACCCGAACCTTGCTGCTCTTTCACTGATACATCCTAAACCCTGGTAGCACCTTTACTTACCGAAGGTATAAAGTTTTGAGCTTCAAAAGAAAACACACCCAACAATCTATGCTGAGTCGACGTTAGGTTTGCCTGAGGAAAACAAGCAGGAACCTTCGGTTCCATGTCATGCAAATCATATGCATCAGCATGTTCATGAGCATCTGAACATGAATATTGCTCAGGTTCCCCTCGCACCGCCCTCTCAGCTTGCACAGTGCGATACAGCCTGGACTGAAGCCTCCTCGAGGAGCCTGGGAACGATGACATGATAGACACATCAGCTCAAACAAGCATGTTTGTGCGGAGCTGGAGACTTGCGCTCAACTCCACCTCCCATTGTACAACTAGTGTTTACTAGACAGGATATAGTATACCACATACAAGTATATAGTATATAGTCTTCAGTATATAGTATACAGTATGTACATTGCATAGTATATTGTATAGCATATAGTATGAGGTATACAGTATACCGTATATGTTTTATGGCCTATGCGATATGATATGTTGTAATTATAAAGCTTGCACAATTGTTTTAAAGATGTAGCGAGATTATATATACATATGTGTATATATATATATGCATCGGCATTTCTGGCGTGTTTCCTGAACATCGGACTTATGCTTACCCCCCAAGCACTGCCGTTCAAGGTTTTCCACAAGCAAGGGTAGTCCGTCTCGCTTTGATGTCTACAACGAGCCACACCTCCAGCATGTAGAACCCTCTGTAACTGACGAGAAGTATGCACCCCTCCACGGCGGGAGACTTGCAAAGCGAGCATCCTGTGTAAATAATAGGACGCAGGGACCAGATTTGCACCATTTGCTGTCAATCATGGGATGCCGGGAGTTGGCAAAGGCACGAAAGCGAGAACAACCAATCAAAAACATATATACATATATACTATAGGAAAAATGCCTAAAATGGATACTCCGCACTCCTAAACCCGTTTATTCCCCATATGCAGACTTTCGTCTCAAACAGTTTCCTTTTTTGTGCACTTACTTCGATCGAAGCTCCTCATGCCCTACACCGAAACCTTCGAAATATCGTTTTGGGAAGAGTCTCTACTGTAAATTCTTCAGGGGGCTTCAGAGCTTTAAGGAAGAGTCATTTGAATTCTTCACCCCTACGTAAGGCCAAACTAAAACTCAAAAAACCCCAAAGTACCTCCCCAGAAACCCTAAACCCCTGAACCCTCAACCCCTAAACCCTTGAACCCTGAACCCTAAACCACTAAAAGGCAAGGCGCAGCCATGGCCCCAGGATAGTACCCGACCATCCCCGCGGAGAGCGGCAAAGGCCGCGGAGGAGGCGACCAGCTGCCGGATGTCGTAGAGCTGCTCCTTTTTAGTTGAGTTTAGGGTCTAGGGTCTAGGGTTAGGGTTCAGGGTTTGGGGTTCAGGGTTTCGAGTTCAGGGTCTAGGGTTTAGGGCTTTACTGTTTTGGGTTTGGGGCTTTAGGGCTTAGGGCGAACAGCGTGTATATGACGTGTGGCGGATGTACAGCAAAGGCTGCTTCAGGTGCTATGGGTGGGTGCAAAGGTGTATAGGGTTTCGGTTTGGGGCTCGAGGGATGTTACTCCCAGAGACTCCAATACCCCTTAATTAAGGAATATACCTTAAATCATATTAAGGATCCTACTATAATTTAAGGTATATTCCTTAATTAAGGGATATTGGAGTCTCTGGACTTGCTTCAGGGGGACGGCTGGGGTCGCCAGTTCCGGGCTCGGCGGCTAAACACCAAGCAGGTCAGCAGCTGGAGTTTGGGCGGCTATGAGTATGAGAGCAAGCAAGGGAACCATAACTCGAACGCTTTAGTTTAGGTGAGAATAAAACCTGGTCGGAGGGTGAGGGTAAGATGGTGACGTATCGCACATATACCAATTTGTCCAGTCCATCCGACAATCCAGCAGGACGCGGATATGAGACGTACATCATGGCACGGCGCTACACAGCAATCTGCATGTCAAAGCCCGCGACCGTGACTTTGGTCGGGGGACCTAGCAAGTAGGTGATAAGTAGACTTTTCAGTACCTTGACAAAGGTCCTAAAAAAGGCTCATGATACGTATACGTCCACACAATCACTTGGAGGCCTCACAAGGTGGGATGACGGCAGGTAGGGTTAAGGATCCCTTACATAAGGACTCTTAAGTTTTGGATTACTTCACCTACTTTCGGCCCACCTTCTGAGACCCCTGAACGACTACTCGTCAGGCAGAACCGAGGTCCACTTGACGGACCAGGCTGCACACCTGCATCGAAGAATGAGATGCCCACAATCGCTACTACACCCTGAACTCTGCACCCCTAAACCCCTAAACCCCAAACCCCTAAAGCCCTAAGCCCCTGAACCCCTAAACCCCAAACCCCTAAACCCTAAACCCCTAAACCCTAAACCCCTAAACCCCTAAACCCCTAAACCCCCAAACCCCTAAAGCCCTAAACCCTAAACCCCTAAACCCCTAAACTCCTGGCCTTGAACCCCCAAAACCACTGGAGCCCTGAATGCCTAAACCTCTGAACGCCTGAAGCCCTGAACCCCTGAAACCCTGAAACCCTAAACCCTAAACCCTAAACCCTAAACCCTAAACCCTAAACCCTAAACTATACTGAACTTAGAACCCTAGCACTAGCAAAAATTGTGATTTCAGCTGTTTCTTAGGGTTTATAATAACCAAAAATTGAAAAATATTTCTAAGTACCCCTAAGTAAGCCGGTGTCCCGAACATGCTGGCTGTCGCCACCATAGTCCTCAGCAGCGGATGTACGGACTCGGAGAAATGCTTGGGGCATCGGGAGAGTTGGTATCTAAGCAGCCTCTACTTGGAGGTTCATGGGTAGTTATAACAGGGGGTTACAAATAGAGTAGCTATGATATAACCCCTATTAGGGGGACTTATATCTCCACTTGTAACCACCCACGAACCTCCAAGTAACTCAACACCTAGAAACGCTTCAAAATTAAATCCTCTAAACTGATGCCTGCACGCGCGAATCTAAGAGACCCAAGCCTGCAAATCAGATAGGCGCCTGAGTAATGAGAATAGGGTTCCGCGGTACAAGTTACAAGTACGTATATAAAAATATATAAAAACTACATGGCGGAATCCTCAAGAATAGCATGATTCTTTAGTCAGGATGATATATATATATATATATATAATATATTGATTGCGTAGGATGGAAACCGACAAGCCCAATCAAACTGCAGCTCTGAAGCTGCGATCCGAAATCCATCACCCCAATTGCGTCTGAGCGCTTTATTGTTTACGAAAACCGTGAACCGAAAAAAAAAACTGTAAGAAGACGACTAGAGACCCGGCAACATAAATATCAAGAACGATGCCTAAGGTGAGCCAACTTTAAGACGTCCAAGGCCAGAACTATGGACCCGGCGCTCTTCCGCTCCAAGTACTAGACTTAGTCCTTATAGTACCCCTGAGAGTAGACCTTACAATCCTTCCTCCTCTCTTCCTCCAGCACCAGTAGGTAGACTCTCTCTCAGAAACTCCTCTCCAAACTCTGTCCTGGCATGCACTTGAGTCGCAAGCCCGAACCTTCAACCCAAACGTCGAAACCCCTATGTATACCATAAACCCCCTAAACCCCCTGAACCCCCTTAACACTCCCTAATCCCCCCAACATCCCTAAACCCCTAAACCGTCCAAACCCCACCAGCACGCCTAAACCCCCTAAACCCTCTAAAACCCCCCAACACCCCTAAACCCCCTAAAGACCCCCTAAACACCCCCTTAAAACCCGCTGCGTTGCTCTTTGACTCCCAGTTTCCCATGTAGACATCTAGGAGGTAGTATACTATAAACTAGGGTCGCGAGGGGAGTATGCCATAATAGACTAGGGTTGAGAGGGGAATGTGCTATAGAGTATATGAAAAACTATAGCATCTACCATAGAAAACTATAGTATACTATAGTACATACCATAGTCTACTCTAGTATACCATATGGAGCTGAACTTTCCCTAAACCCTTAACCCTAAACCCTAAACCATGGCTCGGCTTGGCCCCAGGTGATCACACGTCCATCGGCGCAGAGGCCAGCGAAAGCTCTCTGAGTCGCTCTTAGGCTGACTACCTCCAAGGGCTTTTTGGGTTTAGGGCTACCTTCTTTAGGTTTTTTTGTTTTTAAAGTGCAATGGCGTCTGTCTGTGCTTGAGGTTTAAAGTTTTAGGGGTTTAGGAGGTTTAGGGTTTAGGGTTCAGGGTTTAGGGGTTTAGGGTTCAGGCTTTAGGGGGGGGTGTAGGATTTAGATTTTGAGGTTTATGAGGGTTTAAAGCTCGCAGCCTCCTCCTTACGTGGAGGGTCGGGCGGACTTGGTAAATAGTTATTGCACACACTTATAAGTTTCATAACCCCAATTGGGAATCATTTAGGGTACTCAGGAGTCTACTTTATTACCTAACTACTAAGTCCCCCGACCTTCCAAGTAACACCATCATCTTTAACCGCATCTCAGTTTTCGTCCGCAGCAACGTCATCATCATGGCAAAGATCATAAGCGTCTTCTTTCTCGTCCTGCAGCAGCCTTGTTGTGCTGACATCAAATTACTAAAGATGAAGATAGACTCATGATTCATGGTAACATAGGGGCCTTGCTATTTGGAATGCGGCTTCCGGGCATACCGGGATAGTATTACTACTTGTCCGGGCTTCTGCATATTGTACTCTCAACCCTAAACCCGAAACCCTAAACCCTAAACCCTAAGCCCGAAACCCAAACCGCTTCTTCATCTCTGCCTTCGCGTCTGGGCCAACACTCGCGGTGTGCTGCTCCTCTGCAGGATCCAAGGGTAAAAGGAGGGAACCCTAATATAGTACCCAAAATAATAGGACCCTTATTATAAGGACCCCGCAATAAGGTACCCCTCATTTTCGGAAACTCCCCTTTTCCAAGGGTAAAGGGAGGGACCCTTAATAAGGACCCCTAGGTACATACCCTTAATATAGCTATTATATACCCATTATATAGCCCATTATCGGGTGGGGGTCCCCATTAAGGGTCCCTCCTTGTCCCCCTTGACAGGAGGGTGATGGAACCGACCCTGGGGCTAAGGTTTTTTTTTTTTTAGGGGTTTAGGGTTTAGGGTTTAGGGTTTAGGGTTTAGGGCTCTTTTCCACCTGCAGATACAGCTAGAGCTCCTGTACTAGGAGGAGCCTGTGGTTGGGGCCTCTTTGTAAATGTAGACAGGGGCTAAGGTTTAGGTTTTAGGAGTTTAGGGTTCGGGGTTTGGGTTTCAGGAGTTTAAGTTTTGGGGTGTAGGTTTTAGGAGTTTAAGGTTTAGGATCTAGGGTTGGGGCTTTAGCTGAATTGGCTGCAGGCTTGCCTGCTTTTGGCCTGCACGCGACCGCCCCGGACGTCCGTATGCGTGAGAGAGTTGGGGCTTTAGGAGTTTAGGCTTCAGGGCTTGGGTTTTGGCAGTTTAGGGTTTAGGGTTTAGGGTTTAGGGTTCAAGAGCAATTTGAGGGTTTAGGGCTTAGGGTTCAGCCGTAGCCCAAGTTACTTGAAGCTTCATGGCACTTACAAGTGAGGTCTCAGGTGGCCAGCTAAAGCGACTACAACCCAAATTGAATTGTTTCTCGTCTACCCCTTGCGACTACCCATGCAAGCGGCCGCGTCCAGCAAAACTGATTACCACCAACCCTAAACCCCAAACCCTAAAGATCTAAACCCAGAAGCCCTAAAGCCCCAAACCCCTAAACCCTAAACCCAAGACCTCTACGCAAAGGCCGATCAAAAAAAACCTAGGGAGATCCCAACATGCAAGGCCCCTTCAAATCTCGAGGCATCCTGTGGCCCCAAATCGTTACTTGTTCTTTGTTTTTTTTTGGGGGGGGTTAAGGTTTCGGGTTTAGGGGTTTGAGAGCTTAGGAGTTTAAAGCTTTAGGGTGTTGGGGGTTTTGCGGGTCGAGGTTTACGGTTGAGAGTTTAGGGTTGAGCATCATGAGATCGGGGTCTAGTTTGGAAAAAAGGATAGGCCTTTCTTCGAGCAAGGGTTCAAAATCCTAAGCCCTAAATCAGAAGGCCAGACTAGCTACCAAGGAAGCCTTGTACGAACTAAGCGAGGACGACTCTTGCCTCACTATCAACCTGCGATAAGCATAGGGTTGATAAACCTACAGTCAGCAGCTCTAAGCCCTAGCCCTAAAATCACAAACGCCTTGCAACCCTAAACCCCGGGAGCAAAAGACACATATATGACCAAAAGAAACGTTGAGCCTGGAAGGCTCATCCCGCAAAACCCTCGTAGTAGCCCTTCTGGTAGAAATTAGAGAATTATGACTTTTTTATAGCAAAGTATTCATCGTAGCCCAAAGAGCACCCGTTGTAGGCCCCCTGTTTCAATCTATCCCCAACATACACAAAGAATTATGGTATGGCAAGTATGGTAACCCATATAGCACTCAGTGTAACCTTTTTCAAAGTACGGTTGATGGTACAAATCCTGCATACCCATAATGAGGAGTACACCATCATTCCCATAGTCTAGGGTCATTAAGGTAGTGCAGGATTTATACCATCAACCCTGAACCCGGAACCCTAAAACCCTATAGATCACTTAAACGAGCCCCTTAAAGGTACCCTTATAGATCCATTTAAAACAACCCCAAGATTGATCTCATCAACCGTATCCCCGACACATACGCAACGGCCTCCGGGTCGCCCCAGGTGACCAAAGTCCCATCGGAGGCCAAAGCAGCGAAAGCGCAGCCGCTGGCGACGACACCTGTTTCGAGTTGGTTTTAAATGCAGTGGGCCCTTTCTCCTGCCAAAGACCCTGGATTAGGGTTTAAGGTTTACTGTTGAAAATTTGCGGTGTGGCTTACCCCTCCCTCCAAAAGAAGAGAAAGCTAGACTTCTCCAGATCCGTGTTATGATTTCCTCCTGGCTGTGCTTTGCGAGCTGGATCTTGGGGTTTGCGGTTGAGGGGTTTATTGTCATTGGGCTTACAGTTTGGGATCTACAGGCTTAGAATCCAGAGGTGTATGGCATGCGGTGCGACGATTTATGCTTAAACCATAGGTTTTGAGACCTCAGGCCTTTGGGTTAGGGGTTCAGAGGCGCTTAGTAATACTGATCATCATACGCAAGGCCAAGTATGGCAGGCCCCTATATCAGCAAGCCCTTATAGTAGCCCTTATACTAGCCCATATAGACCCCTTTAAAGGAACCCTACATTCTGCAATAAAGTTGTGCTTTCGTTCCTCCGAGCAGACAGGGGTTTCGGGTTGAGGGGTTCGGCCTGGAGTAACTTCAAAACAGCTCACAATGCGGGATTCAGGGGATAGGATTTAGGGTTCAGAGCTTTCGGTGGGTGTTAAAGTGTCCGTTCTTGGAGCGCTAGAGAGTCAGGGTCTGGTCCGCATGCAGCAAGAACGCGGATGCATGTCATCAGCGAAACGTCTTGGGATCTGCCCTTGAAGTTCGCATGGTCCTCCGAAGCCCGCAAACCTGAAAACCTGAAGCCCGAAAACCCAGAACTATACGCCGCAGCCCAATCACATGCTAACACCCATCAATGCCTGGAAGATCCTTGAAGCCTAGAGCCCTAAACTTTCAAAGGACGTTCCGTGGCTTCCAGACTTTGTCCGCGGCACTTGCCACTCTGAGCGGCTCAGGCAGGCCTTAGTTTAGAGGGTTCAGGGACTTCTGACGAACCCCCACTTGGAGGTTCGTGGGTAGTGATGAGTGTGGTTCTAAGTCCCCTAATATGGGTTATAACTATAGTAACCCTACTTATAACTCCATTTATAGCTACCCATGAACCTCCAAGCACCCTCAAACCCCAAGCCCCATACCCGAAAGCTCTCAACCCAAGCCCAAAACCTGAATTTCCCAAGCACTGGATCCCTAGGCGCCTTATGCCCAGCCCTGAACTCTGCACCCCACACCGTAGACCTTCGATGGCCGGAGGCTTTGGGGGTTTCGATGTAGCTTCGAGCTGCAAAAGCAATCTGGGCAAAACAACCCGCAAGCCCAAACCGCAGTCCAAAAATCCTGAAGCCCGGAACCCTAAACCTGTGGACCTGTTGAAACCACAAAAGCCCCAGCCTTACATGTGAAAGGATCCCCAAACCCTATGTAAGCCCTCAAGGCTACTTGGAGGTTCATGGGTAGTTATAAGTGGAGTTATAAGTAGGGTAACTATAACTATAACCCATATTAGGGGACTTGTACCTCCACTTATATCTACCCATGAACCCGAAACCCTATACCCTATACCCTTATAGAATCCCTATAGATCCCTTTATATAAAGGGACCCCTACTTATAACTGCACTAATAACTACCCATGAACCAAACCCTAAACCTTAGAGGCCCAGGTGCTGACTGACATCGGCTTCATCCTTCCCCAGGTGATCGCCATCCCATCCTCTCGCACTGCAGAGAAGCCGAAGAGGGCAGCGTATACGTCCCTCACGTTCCTCACAGTGTAGAAGGTTTAGGGTTTAGGGTTTCTATGTTCGTCGTTAAATGCCTTGTCTACAATGAGGCCCCTCAACCCTAAACCCTCCTACCGACTCCTACCACTAGCATATGAAACGGCTCAGGGCTGATGTTTGCAGTTCAAGTTTGTCCTCTTGCTTAGCTGAGTAAATTCATGCTTAAAGACCTATGCTAAGGAAACAGGGAGACTCAACGCAGAACACAGCAGAATAAGACAATGAAGTGCCTGGTGGGGTTTAGGGTTTAAGCAAAGGCGTGCCCAAAAATGTTCACGAAAACAGGACCCCCTGTCTTCCACCCTGCACATACACTCTTTGGAGGGACATCCCGGAAGTGGAAACGTTTCAAATCCTTTACCCTCAACCTTAAACAATAAGACTCTAAGCCATGGTTTTTTGGCTCCCTGACAAGAGCGCCCCAGGCTCTCCAAGCGCTTCTGCACCGCACTGCTGTCTCCCCCATGCGAGGCACTTCCCCACGTCAGAATTGTGCCGTCCTTCGCAGGTGTTAGCACAGGGTCATAAACTCAATACCTCCTAAGTACGAAACGGAATATACCTTGTATAAGTAGCAGAATGAGAAGCCCAAGTACATTATTCTTTGATTGAGGGCGTTTTGGGCTGGCTCTCTGGGTAGCGCAGTCTAACGTAAGGTCGCTATTAGGCTGTACACAGAAAAGAAATTGCCCATGCACAAATAAGGTGGTAGGCTAGGATCCTGGCATTATGCGTGCTTTGGGCAGAAGCGCTTGCAAAGAGAGCGGACTACGTTCGGTTGCCCTATGCGAGATGCAGAGCAACAACCTGCGACTGCTAACGAGCTTGAACCTCACTTCAAAAACCCAAGACGTAACGGGTTTGGGGCTTAAGAGCTTTAGCTTAAGGGCTTTAGGGTTAGGGCTTAGGGTTGTGAAAGCGAAAATCCATGACGCCATGGGTTCGGGCTTAAGGGTTTTAGGGTGCAAGGTTTAAGCCAGTCCCTGCACCTGACAGACTGATGGCTTAGAGTTTAAAGATTTTGAAAGTTTGAGGTTCGAAACAAAAGCGCTGAAACAAACCCGGAACCCACGCTAATGAACCCTACATCCTGAACCCTAAACCGGAATTAGACCCGGACGGAAATCTAAAACCACAGAACCGTATTCACCCATCATTCATTCAATCCCAGTTAGGGACTACTACTACTACTACTACTACTACTACTACTACCACTACTACTACTACTACTACTACTACTACTACTACTACTACTACTACTACTACTACTACTACTACTACTACTACTACTACTACTACTACTACGAGCTCTACAGTCTTCAAACCCCCAACAATACCGCACATCACTCAACCCTAGATCCGTTCTCCTGGCACAGGGCCGCGAAGGCCCCGGAGGAAGCGCAGATTTTCCGCACAGGCTGGCGCCAGGCGATACTCGCACCACCCATCGCAGGGTCTCCTCATGTAGGTTTTAAGGCACTTTGTTTTTAGAGTTGAGGGTTTTTTAGGGCTTAGGGTTTAGGGCTTAGGGTTCTTTTAGAGTTTAGGGTTTTTTAGGGCTTAGGGTTTAGGGCTTAGGGTTTGGGGTTTGGGGTTTAGGGTTTGTGGGTTTGGGGTTCAGGGTCTCCGCACAAGGGCCGTAGAACTACAGGGTTTCCTAGTTGCTGAGTTCATAGGGTTTAGGGCTTAGGGTTTAGGGTTTAGGGTTCATAAACCCCCAAAGGTGCAAACTTTGCTTTGTAGGGGATAGCATTATCCCAGCAAGTGTGAACTGCACTTTTGCTGCCCTGAACTATGCGCTTTTCTGGTATATCTTCGGGATAATGCAGGATTGATTCCATCATCAGGGAAATTTTGTGTTCACGGATTCAGTTTACAGCTGGGATTTATGCAGAGTTGAGGGATGTTGAGGGGTAGCTTATGTTTTCAGGGTGCAAGCCCCCAAACCCTAAACCCTGAACCCGAAACCCTAACACCGAACCCTAAACCCTAAACCCTATACCCCGAAGCCGCAGGGATCCGTCAGGGACTCTTGCGCAATGCAATAGGCTTTGGGACTTAGCTCAGGCAGTTTAGGGTTTTTCGGGCTCCTGTACTGGCTCCTGGAATTAAACAAAAAGCACTTTCAGGATTCTAGAATTAAGAACATGCGGGTTTGGGATTTCGGGTTTCAGAGTTGAGGCTTGGGGCCTCAGGCTGACTGACACAGGGAAGCCTGGACGCTGTGACTGACAAGGGGAAGCGCAGAAACTGCACCTGAACTTAAACCCTAAATCCGCAACCCCTCGACCCCAAACCCGAATTCCCCAACATCCACACTTGCAGCCCCGCGAACCCGAAGCTCTACACCCTTTATCCTTGACTCCAAAACTTAATCCCAGATCCTGCTCAGAAATATACCTTAACCCATTGGTGATCTAAGCTATACACCTTAATTAGGATATATTGGTATATCTGGGACTTAAACTGCTGCAAGGTCTCCCCAGCAAAAGACATCACCCGTGGCGGACAAGGCAGCAAATGCCCGTGAAGTAGCAACGACCGCCTCTCTCTCGCCATGTCTTCTCAGGGTTTAGACTGGCATCTTGCTGCAGGATCCTAAACATAAAACCGGGTTAACCAGAACAGGAGCAGCTCTTTCTGTTTTTCTGGTGTGGCATGAAGCTCAATCCTACACCCTCAACCCTGAGCCCTAATCTGGTTAGTAGGGAATGGAAGAATGGTAGTAATAGTAGTTATAATTGTACCCCATTCCTCCATTCCCTACTAACCAAAGGTAAGTAATCCCAAACCCAAAATCCTAAACTCAGCGTTTTCGGTGTAAGGCTTTACAGGATTGAGCCCTGAGCACCTACTTCCTCAGCGCTCAAACCTTCCAACCCGAAAAAATGCCGTCCGAAGACCCGAGGAACAAGAACGACGCCTACCGGTGTTAGGGGTTCAGGATGTTTTTCGCACATGTTGGGTTTTAGGAATTAGGGTGTAGGGTTACTCTCAATATGGTTGGCTTAGAGCGCAGGGTTTTAGAGTGGCATTTGGTTGTAGGATCCAAACCATCAAACTGGTTCAGAAAAGGAACCACTGTTTGCGTTGTTCAGGTCCCTAGCACAGGAGGGGCATTTAGTTCATAGTTCTGTGGAATCAGTGAATTGCTAGGCTTTAGATTTAGAGTTTAGGGGTTAGGGTTCAGGGTTTAGGGTTTGGGGTTCGGGTTTCGGGTAGAAGCCCTGAAACCTGAAGGGCAATGAAGCAGCCTTCGGTTCGTAAGTACGAACAACACAAGGACGCTTACTTACTTTTGGCAATACCAGACGAATAGATAGAAACAAGTCCCTCGGCCCTGACCACTAAACTCAACACCCCACCGTAAGCTTCACACCCTATACCCCGGGAGCCCGAATCCTTAAACGTTTAAACCCTAACCCCTAAAATCCTAACAGACCTCAAACCCTAATCCCTAAACTTATAAACCCTAAACCCTAAACTTATAAACCCTAAACCCTACACTTAACAACCCTAAACCCTAAACCGAAGCCGAGGCCGGGGGCCTTGATATCCCGCAGCTGAGGCCGCAGGGCCCGGCTATCCCCCCCTGCGCGGGGGCACCCCCACGTCTCGACCTGCCAACCCGCTCGGAGCGTAGGTGGGCTACCGCAGAATACGACTGGTAGTAGTAGTAGTAGTAGTAGTAGTAGTAGTAGTAGTAGTAGTAGTAGCAGTAGTAGCAGTAGCAGTAGTAGTAGTAGTAGTCGTAGTAGTAGTAGTAGTAGTAGTAGTAGTAGTAGTAGTGTTTTTATTGTAGTAGTAGTCGTCGTCGTAGTAGTAGCAGTAGCAGTAGCAGTAGCAGTAGCAGTAGCAGTAGCAGTAGCAGTAGCAGTAGCAGTAGCAGTAGCAGTAGCAGTAGCAGTAGTAGTAGTAGTAGTAGTAGTAGTAGTAGTAGTAGTAGTAGTAGTAGTAGTAGTAGTAGTAGTAGTAGTAGTCAAAACAACAATACTCATTAGAGCAACAAGAAGCATGACAGCATCTTACATATACTAACAAGGCAATGCTAATTACAATGGTAACAGTAAAAGCTTAGCGTTTAAGTTTACGTAAGTTTTTGGGACGTAGAGTTGAGGCCTTTAGAGCTACGGTTCACCGGGTTCTTTGGGGCTGAGAGTGTGGGGGTTTAGGATCTTACGGGTCGGAGTTTTGGGTTAAGGGTAGAGAGTTGTTTGCATTCCGTGAAAGATCACAATATGTTGGCTCCGATTAAAGCAACCCTAATGTATTCCATCACCCCCAACCTTAACTCATTCAGTGCCAGTCATGTGAAAGAAGGCACTACAAGAGTTCATAGGTCTCGAAATGCCGAAAGGTGTGCGGAAACCCTGCGTCGTCATGCGGGAACCTGGCATCGTCATGCTGGAAACCTGTGGCGTCATGCTAACACCTGAACCCGTGCTTCAGACACAGTTCTAGAGAACCCATGCAGAAAAGGTCGCTACAGCGGTTGCACACTGGTGGTTGTTGCATGGAATTGAGAGAGCACCTAGTAGCTGACACTCCATGCCATACGTAGCTGCCCAAGCACGTCCCAAGAGAACCAATGAGGCTATCAAGACCACCCCATGACCGCAGCGTGGTTCGAGCAACATTGACACACAAGGATGCGAGTGACTGTGGCAGGAGCGACTCAGCGACACACAACCAAATCCTGTGCACTCTTTCGGCACAAACACCTTACGACTTAAGAGAACTTTGGGATTCGATTTCCCCAAAACCCACAACCCAAAACCTAAACCCTATACCCTCAATCCCCAAATCCCTAAACCCCAAACCCTAAACCCGACCGAAATGTCGCTGTCCAGGCGCCTGCCCCTCCGACGTCAGAGCCGCAAAGGCGCCATCCGTTGCACAGAGCGCAACGACCCGATGCAGTCTGCCTGGTGGTGAGCACTGAAGCCCCTGCTGCCTGTAGGCTTTTAAGGGAACCCATAATACCTTGAAGGGAGCCCCTATCATAGAACCCCATAGTACACCTTAATGGGAGCCTTATCATAGAACCCATAATAGCCTTAGAACTTTATAGGAACCCTTAAGGGGGCCTTGAAAGAGTTTCACTTGCTGGAACTGATGCTGGCAGTTTGCAATGATGGTACTGCTGTCAATTAATAGTCGCAATGACAAGCAGAAGCCTGGCAACAGCAACTGCAAGAGTGTCTACTAGGTGGGGCTTTTAAAGCCTTTGAAAGATATTAGTAGATAAGATCCTCTTTAGCCCAATAAGGGCAAATATAAAATGTCCCAAAGATCTACCTAGTCTATGTACGGACTTCTAGGCATGACAGTCGTTCTGGCTGTCATCCTCATGCTCGCCATAGTACAGAAACTGTACTGAGATGCTGCGGTCTGACGTTCAAACAAGAACCTCGAAGCAACCCCAGGTGGATGCAGTATCCGAAAGCCGCATTTCAACATGATGGTTTTCACTATAGTAGATCATCACATGTTATTACACAGTATATGACAGCACATCATATTTCAGTGTACTCCAAAAGATTACATTCCCTTGAACTCCCCCGAATTCCGAATGCTGGAATTGAGGGCATCCCAAAACACAGCCTCGCAACAAAGCCCTGGGCGGAGCTCTTGGCCCTCAGACTAAAATCCAAAACCTGCGCCTTAGAAAATTATGTAAACCTTATAATATATGTACAACTCAAAGTAACAGGATCCTTCATGCTAGTACAAGAGCCCACAAAATCAAACTCTACAAAATGGGAGTTTCCGAAAATAGGGGACCCTAATACAGTACCTTGAACTTACTATAAGTACTATAAGGACCCCAAAATAAGATACTCTAAACCCTAAACCCCAAAAGCAGGTACTCCTATCTTCGGAAACTCCCAAATCGCCCCATCGGCCAGGTGCCTTCCACTTCGCTGCAGTCACCTCCACTCTCCGCGGCGCCCCAACAGACCACGGTGCCATCCAATCTGGTTTAGGATTCAGGGTTTAAGGTTTAGGGTTGAGGGTTGAGGGGTTCTCAGGGGCTTGAAGGACGCTACCTACACCCTAGACCCTGAACCCAACTTATGCATTGCAAGTAGACCCAGACCTTCGGAAATTCGAGCAAATGACCACATGACCCCGAGAAGTACAAGGTACAAGGGTGGGGGGCTTCAGCTGTGTTGGATTTAAGCGTGGGGTATAAGATATCACGGCCTATGGCTTCAAGTGCTGGGATTCGGGTTCGAGTTTCGGGATTAAAGGTGTTCGGAACATGATTTGTAGCCACAGGTGAAACTTGGACCCTAAAGACACAACAACTCAACCCGGAACCCCTTGCGGACTTCAGGGTTTACGGTTTAGGGTTCAGGGTTTAGGGTGTATGAGGGTTTCGGGCTTGGGCATTTCTGATGATTCCTGCAGCGTTCGGCAAAGCTTCTATGGAAGCCCCAGGCCAAGAGCGTAAAAGGCTCCCAGGAGCGCTAGTCCATTGGGGGGGTACCTTTAAAGGGTTCCGTGAGGGTTACTTTAAGGGTCCCTTTAAGGGGCTCTATAAGAAAATTGGGGGGATACCCTATATTGGGGTCCTTAGAATAAGGATCCTACTATGTAGGGTGCTAGATGAGGGTCCCCTATTGTCCGAAACTCCCATTTAGGTCTCGTTTGGGGCTCTGGGTTCGCGGCTGAGGGTTTGGGGCTTAGGAAGCAAAGCTTAGGGTGTGGGTTCAGGGATTAGGGTGTAGGGTTTAGCTGTCGAACGGGCAGAAACTACGAAACCGAAGTAGTAGGATGGTTAGAAAAGCTCCCCTGAATTGGGCCAAGGGACCAGGATTTAGGGTTCAGGGATGCTTAACAGTATGGGCGGTTTTGGGGCCGGTGCTACACCGCGACCCCGAAACCTCAAACCCTACACCCCGAAACCCGAAACCCCACGAACATCACCGAACAAACCCCAACACCCTTCACCAAAATTTCTGAGCCCCGAAAAATCTAGAAAGCTGAAGAATCCTTCCCCCCCGCCACCCCTCAACCCCCACCGCACCTGAGAGCTGCGAATGCCTCCCTGGTTGCGTGGATCTGATGGACCTCCATATGAGCTTAAGCAAAGCAGAGGGTGCAGAATTTAGGGTTTACTGGCTTACTGTTTCCGGAGGCGTTCATCCCGCTTTCAGGCTGGATTTCAGGGTGTCGCAGAGGTTCTATGCGATGTTGATAAGGGCTTAGGGTTTCGTGTTTAGGGTGGCATAATGGCTTGAAGCCCGAAAAGAAGGAGGCTTTGCAGGGGTGTGAATGGTTCTATGAAGGCCTGGTAGTGCTTTACCGGGATCTTACAAGGCAGTCGGGTTTATGAAGTCGTCATTCGACGAAAAGTCTCATAATGGTCTTTGCACGGGATTCACAAGCATGGCGATCGGGAATGGCGCATCACTGCTTTGTTGTGGGGATCCTGCTTGGGGACCCTAAACCCTAAACCCCTGGCTTCAGCGGCTCCAGGTTTGAGGCTTAGGGTCTGAGGTCTGAAAAATGACTGGAACGCTGCGGCACTTCCAGTTCAACCACGACATTAAGCCCTCTAGAAATTGGACAAAACCTGCAAAGCCCTTTAGTCAGCCAACGTAGGGGCCTCAATAATTCGAACTGGGTTTTCGGGGGCATGTTGTAGTCTACTACTAATCCCAGAATCAGGAACCCAAATGAATACTTCTGCAATCATGACTAATAAAGAGCCCTAAGGAACATACCTACTCGTCATTGAGGTATATAATATTCTACTACTACTACTACTACTACTACTACTACTACTACTACTACTACTACTACTACTACTACTACTACTACTACTACTACCACTACCACTACTACTATCACAGTAGGGAGTAAGCGGGTCACACCTCTTGGAGGGCCGCCTGGACTGCCGAGCTGTCGCCACCTGAGAGTTTAGGGAAAGGGGCCTCTGGGTGCGCGGCTTTCGGTGCAAGTTATGAGGCTTACTACACTGAACTTTTAACCCTTGCAAAAATTATAATTTTAGCTGTTTCTTAGGGATTATAATAACCAATTAAAAATTACTTCTAAGTACCCCTAAGCTTAGGGTTTGTTTGAGCTCCTTTTGGGGCCTGCAGTACTAAAAGCTAACCTAAGGGTGGTGGGTTTAGGATTATACCACCCCCAAAGCGGGTAAAGGTTACCTACTCTACTACTAACCCTAGATCCTAAACCCTACCTTAAACCCTCGACCCTAAACCCTACACTCTAAACCCTACATCCTAAAGCCTACTGAGCCCTAAACCCCTGAACCCTCGTAGAGTCTTCCCGGGCCTCGGCGGGGTCGCCCCACCGTGGTGATCCGGCCCTGCCAAGGCACAGCGAAGGCGTGCCTGCTTGGCGTTGAGTGAGGGTTTAGGTGCACCACTTGACATGACAGACTCCGGTACGCTGGGCACCTGAGACCATCACTGACTTCAACGTAGTGGGACAAAATGCAAAGACTAAAAAACTAAAGGCGACCATCCAGTGAGTGTTTAGGGCTCCCAGAGACTCCAGTATTCTTTAATGAAGGGAATTTACCTTAAACCATAATAGGATCCACATTATGATGTAAGCGAGTATTCCTTAATTAGGGGATGTTGGGATCTCAGGGGTCGGTGGTCTTGGGATTTAGGTTGGAGGATCTAGGGTCGTGGGGTTAAGGGTTTAGAGTTCTTTCCTGGTTCCTGGAGTGTTCCTTCCTGACTGCCTGAAAGCTCACACGTAGTTAGATATTTCGGTGTGAGGACTCAGCATTGAGGGTTGAAGGGCATTTTGGTTGTAGGAGCAGTTGGAAGACACAAAGTCATCTGAGGGGCTAAAGGATGTTGGTCCGGGTCTCAGGTTAAACTTGCAAGCTCATGGGAGATGCAAAAGGATCTAAACCCCAAACCCACTAGGTTTCTGCTGATGGTTTCTGGAGCTTAGTAGGGCTTTAGGGACGAACGGACCGCGCGGGAGCCGTCCCAGGCCCCTAACCCCCAAACCCTAAGACCTAAACCCCTAAACCCCTAAACCCTAACACCCTAAACCTGGAACCCCATAAACCGCAGAACTGGTCCTCAACCTTGCCTTACTTGAATTATCAAAGGCATGGAACCGTAGCCGAAGCCTGGGCTGCTAGATATAGACGATTGGTTTAGGGTTTAGGGTTTAGGGGTGAGGGGTTTAGGGTTTAGGGTTTAGGGGTTTAGGGTTTAGGGGTTTAGGGTTTAGGGGTTTAGGGTTTAGGGAAGTCTTAAGTAAGCCCCAGGACCCTCAAAGTAAACCCTAAACCACAAAATCCCCGGCCCAAAAACACAAAAAAATCCCAGAAAGCATAACCCGCCTTAAGCCCCTAAACCTCAACCCCTGAAGGAACCCTTAAAGCAGCCCGTAAAGGCACTCCCTGAAAGTGCCTCTGGTGATAGCAATGGAGCTGCAGCTTCGAACCGAGCACGGCAGTCACGCTGTCGCCGCTGCACAGGACATCTGTCAACCTGCGCCAGGTGTCAGGTTCGGCTCAGGGCTTAGGATTTGAAGGGTTTAGGGTTTGAGTTTATGGTGGGGTTTCATTAGGGGTTTCACTGACTAGGTCGTTGCGGGTGTTCTGCGAGTTTAAGTATAGGTAACTCCCTCCGAAACAAAGAGACTCCACTGCAGGACGCACACCTCCATCATGAAACATTCAAGCCCAAACTTTGAAGTCTTTCGCCCTGGAGCCCGGCAAGCCCGAAGCCCTTCATTAGCCTGAGAGAATCGATCCCAGAAGCTCCCAACCCCACGAATGAACACCATTTTCTTCTGCCCCCTCCCCCCTCTCCCGCAGACACTCTTGGACCCCAAACCACAAACACCAAACCCCTAAACCCCACACCCGAAACCTGCATAGATACCATAAAGAGGCCCTGGAAGACTCCATCAAGATCCCAAACCCCCCCTTCCACGCCCCACGCCCCTGCTTGGAGGGTCGAGGGACTTAGTAAGTAGGTAACAAGTGGAGTTTCAGCACCCGAAGCAGGATCCTAATTTGGGGTTCCGATAGCTATTTTTCTATGAACTAACTGAGAGTGTCCGAAAATTAGGAGACCCTGATATAGTACGATAAATAATAATAGGACCCTTATTATAAGGACCCCAAAATCAGGTACCGCTCATTTTCGGAAACTCCCAACTAATCACCACTGAGTCCCCGCCCTCCCCCCGTGGCCCCAAGGGAAAACCCCCAAAGCTCCTGGAGTCCAAGGGCAACAGGGTGCCGCAGGCCAGTAAACCTTCATGGTTGGAATGACAAGCTGTTTAGGGTTTAGGGTCTAGTCTAGGGTTTGAGGTTTAGGGTTTGAGGATTGAGGTTTAGGGTTTAGGGTTTAAGGTTTAGGGTTTAGGGTTGAGGTGATGTGTATGTTCAATTATTGCTCTAGACATGGAATGATAAGGGACAAGCGATACCAATGATGCCAGGAAACCTTGAAGAGGCTTCTCCCAGTGCCTCAGATGCTGATTGAAGGCTTAGGGTTTAGGAGTTTAGGACTTAAGGTTTGGGAGTTTAGGGTTTAGGGTTCAGGGGGTTTAGGGATCAGGGCTAAAAAAGGCTTAGGGCCCAGGTAGAGTAGGCTGTTGGGTTTAGCGTTTCCCGTTTAACCAGAATCAGGGTGGAGGTGGCGGTGGTGACGGTGGTGACGGTGGTGACGGTGGTGGCGGTTGTGGCGGTTGTGGCGGTTGTGGCGGTTGTGGCGGTTGTGGCGGTTGTGGCGGTTGTGGCGGTTCTGGCGGTTGTGGCGGTGGTGGCGGTGGTGGCGGTGGTGGCGGTGGTGGCGGTGGTGGCGGTGGTGGCGGTGGTGGCGGTGGTGGCGGTGGTGGCGGTGGTGGCGGTGGTGGCGGTGGTGGCGGTGGTGGCGGTGGTGGCGGTGGTGGCGGTGGTGGCGGTGGTGGCGGCGGTGGTGGTGGTGGTGAGTTGCGGTCATACATATTCCAAGTCGATGTCCCATGTCCCACGGCGCCACTGTTCTGCCAAGACACCGCTCCACCTCCTTCCAAAGATCCTCCACAAGGCCATCTCGTCTGGCACGGAGTTCGAAGCATTCACCGCTAAGCCCAGCGACGCTGAGCAGCATGGCAGAGGAATTCCCTTTAAAAAGGACCCCTTAACCCAAAACCGTGTTAAAAAGACTCAGCTTGGAGGTCGCCGTCAGGCTTAAGGAGCTAGGCACCTAGCTGGAGTCAGCTGAACACAAAGCCCAAGGGCCAAAAACCCTAAACCTCAATTCAGGGGTTTACCTAGAACCTAAAAGACCTACCGTTAGTCAGGAACTATATATGTAGAGCCTATAATTAATCAGGAACAAGGTAGGTCTTTTGGGGTACAGGTAGGGTTTAGATGGGTTTAGGGTTGAGGGCCCTAAACCCTAACCCTGGGGGCAGCTTTGCTGCCCAGCCTCTGAGCAAAAAGTCTGAGGGGCGCGAACATCTCAAATCCAGGGTTTAAGGCTGAGGGTTTGGATTTAGGGTTTAGGGTCTAGGGTTAGGATTTAGGGTTTAGGATTAGGGTTTAGGGTTTAGGCTTAAGGTTAGGGCTTAGGGTGTAGGGTTCTGGGCATTTTGTGCCAGCTACATCGCAGATCGCATCGCTTCCTCTGCATCTAACCAGGAC